GCATATGCAGTTTTGTGTGTGTGGTTGGGGGTGGAGGTGTTTGGTTAGTAACAATCTGTGTGTATGACAGTTGACAATGACCAGAAAGAGTCTGTCCAATTCCTGGTGCTCAGTCTCTATGTACATCTACTTCCCCTTGTCTTTATGGTATTTTATTATAAACATTGTATAACTCAATTGTATAACTTCATTCAACACAAGAGATTACACTTCACAAACACATATACAAGCGACTTCATAGTTGAGAACAAAACTACTTTAAATTCTGTCTTTTGAGATGTATTGATCCCAGTGATGGCTGCCTGCTTCTGTCTGAGTAAAGGTTATATCATGGTTTGAGTTTGACCAGTCAGTGACATTAATTACCATAAACCTCACCCTGATAGTCTCTGCTTAAGGAGCAGAGGCCTTCTGGGGTCAGGAGCTCTGTCCTAGTGACTTAAACTGGATATGTAAGTTACCGCAGTCAAATGTAGGTGAAATTCCTCAAAGAGTCCCTCAAATGGTTTCTGGAAAAGCTCCTGTGGAAAACAGCTGTTGGTTTATGTGGCATCCATCCCGGAAATGTTCAGTATGTTTACCTGGCAGCTCCAACACCAGTGTAGAACCTGTCCATTAATCCTTTCTTAGCGGAGATGAGGAAGGGCTTGCATGTGCATGTGTGTGTAAACACACAGACTAATGGACCTGAATGAAATCCAAACACAGGAACTGGCATGTGGTCAGTACTGTTTACTTCCAGTGGGCTTGTTGGGCTTGTCTTGTCAAGGGACAGAGACAATATTTTATTCATGGAGTGTAGGGCTGCCCACTAATAGTTGAGTAATTAGTAAGAGATCTGTCAATCGACTGAGACTCTTCTAGTCAAGCCTTTGTTTTTATTTTATTATATTTTTTGTTAGCCAGTGTGCATTACAATAAAGGGCAGCAGCTTAGTTTGTCGTCAGCTTCTCATTATTTTGGTGTGCCAAGCAGACATTATGTATATATCCTCAATTTAAATATTGCATCATATGCAGCTGTCTTTTATTGATTTTTAAATGCTCAGAAATATATACCTGTCACGCTTTTGCATTTAAATACAGATGTCAGTGTGGTTGAACTCATTACTGAAATTAATGATGGTGTATGTATGTATGTATGTGTGTGTGTGTGTGTGTGTGTGTGTATGTGTGTGTGTGTGTGTGTATGTATGTGTGTATGTATGTGTGTGTGTGTGTGTGTATGTATATGTGTATATATATGTGTATGTATATGTGTATATATTCATTCCCCACTTCAGGACGGTCTTGTATTCCTTCCTTCAAGCTCAGGTCCTCTACCAGAGGCCTGGGAGCTTGAGGGTCCTGCGCAGTATGTTAGCTGTTCCTAGCACTGCACACTTCTGGACAGAGATCTCAGATGTTGTTCCTGGGATCTGTTGGAGCCACTCTCCCAGTTTTGGGGGTCACAGCCCTATTACCACCGGGACAACTAGTGCCTTCACCTTCCACATCTTTTCTAGCTCTTCTATCAGCCCTTGGTATTTCTCGAGCTTCTCATGTTCCTTCTTCCTGCTATCGCTTGGGATTGCTACATCTATCACTACAGCCCTCTTCCTTCGTTTGTCCACCACTACTATGTCCGGTTGGTTGGCCATTACCAGTTTGTCAGTTTGTATCTTGAAGTCCCACAGGATCTTAGCTTGGTCATTCTCAACCACCTTTGGAGGTGTATCCCATTTTGACTTTGGGACTTCTAGCCTGTACTCAGCACAGATGTTTCTGTACACTATGCCAGCCACTTGGTTATGGCGTTCCATGTATACCCTGCCTGCTAGCATCTTGCACCCCGCTGTTATATGCTGCATTGTCTCAGGGGCATCTTTGCACAGCCTGCACCTGGGGTCTTGTCTGGTATGGTAGACCCCAGCCTCTATTGATCTTGTACTTAGAGCTTGTTCTTGTGCTGCCATGATTAGTGCCTCTGTGCTGTCTTTCAGTCCAGCTTTGTCCAGCCACTGGTAGGATTTTTCGATATCAGCCACTTCTACTATTTGACGGTGGTACATACCGTGCAGAGCTTTGTCCTTCCATGTGGGTTCCTGCTCTTCCTTTTCTAGTTCCTCTGGTTTCTGCTGCCTGAGGT